GATTGGTTGGTGGCAAAAGTGTAAAGCGGAAGTCACCAAGTTCACTGGTGTGCCCACTGATGAACTTCAACTGCCCCTTTGCCCCAACCTCTGGGAGTAGGACTTCCTGGCCATCTGTTACCACATAGAAGAAAAGGGAGACCAAAGGGAGGGCAGAGGTACCTAAAGCCTGGGTGACCAAGAACAGGGGGAAAAAATAGCATTAAATTGGCAATTTTTCTTGAGAATCAGCCTTAGTGAGGGAAAGGCATTTTAGGCAGGAGTAACATGGTAAACAATATGTGTTTGGCAGTGCTGAGGCACTGAGGCTAAATAGATATACCCGGTGGGATGATCTAAAGAGCCTTACAGAGCTCTCTGGGAAATAATGGAATACTTGTGCTGTGTCCTCTCCTAAGAACTCTACACAGATTATTTTAATTCTTACAATCTTGTGAGTTCCGTGTTACTATTATCTTTGCTTTACCAACAAGGCTTTGGGGTGATACACAGTCATACAGAGATTTTCGAATTTAAGCCAGACTCATGGCTATTAACCCCCACTTCAGACTGCATTTGCTGGCAGCAAGGGAAGGACTGAGGGAAGGGTATCCTGAGGCCCTGACCTGAGGCTCTACAGTCACTCTCCAGCTCCAGTCCCCTCCGTGTTGACCCCCAGGCCTCTTGACGAACTCAGTAGTGAGCCTTAAGGCCCCATCCTGGATGTGTTGCCGCCCGAAGGAGAGGCCGTCGTGGAACTCCCAGCCATAGGGACCCACGCCGTCTCCCTGCTCACACGTGTGCCTGAGCTTAGGGGTCCCTGGGGTGGCGCCCTGCTGCGCCCACATCAGTCCTGGGGGTAGAATGGCCAAGTAAGTCAAAGAGAGAGCGGGAGGACCTGTTCCTGTGGGTCTCCGAGAACTTGAGGGTCATCCTCCTTCTTAACTCCTGTCCACTCCGCCCCACCCTTGCTCTGGCGGGAAGATGGGACAACCAGATTAAGAGTGTGCCTGTCTGCCCACCCCGGGGCCCAGTTACCGGTGAGGAGGGGTTTCGGGCTGCGAGTCTTCATGCCGAAGTAGACGTGAGGACGGTAGGTACCCCAGAAGAGGTCAGGGGCCACCGCTGGGCTGGAGGAGTCGGAGGACAGCGCTGGGGGTGCAGAGTGTAGCGTGACCGCCCGCTGTGCACGGTACCACGCCAGCACCCAGCGCCCCGACAGGGCGAGAGCCAGAGCCAGAACCACCACGGCTAGGGCCGCTCCTCCGGCGGCGCCACGGGCTCTGCCGCCCCGGCCGTCCCGTCGCCCCGAGCCGACCCGAGCTTCCCTCTCTACTGCCCGCGCTCCTTCAGCGGGCGCTGCGCGACGTCGCCGCTCGCCTCGAGCCATCCTAGTACCGAGGACGTTGCCCGAGCGCAGACAGGCTGCAGTGGCGCCCGGGTCCTGCCTCTCCTGCTCCGGCTCTCGCCTGGCGCCCCAGCAACTACCGTCCTTTCAGCACCAGTGGGCCCGCGCCTCTGGCTTCGGGTCCTCCTCGAGCCGGAAGTCCCGCCCCGCCACGTCAGGTCAAATCCCCCTAAACCCGGAACCCCTGTCGCCAGCCGGGAGAAGGGGTGGATCAACCCGGTCGGCACTGGGAAGAGACCGCTCACTGGGTCTGCGCTTATGCGGAGCGCTCACGGAGTAAGCGGTTTTAGTAGAGAAAACCAATCTTACTTTGAGCCCTCCCCCCTTTTTAAGTTGTTATATATTAACCAGAGAAGCCAGCCTGAGTGTTTTACTGATAACTGCCCCGCCCCAATCAGGTGACGGAAAGCCACGGCCTAGGAAATACAACTTTACAGCTTGGCCTAGGCCACAGAGCTGGGAAGTGGCTAGCTTTGGACCCAGGTAGGTGTACTTGAATCAAGCTGGATCACTTGACCCACAGCCAGTACCTTCTGTCCTCGAGGAGTGGAGAAAGTGGACTCAAGAGGAAGCCTGGGATCTGGGTCCAGCTATGTCTGGAACCAGACATATGTATATTTAAGAGACATATGTATATGTAAGAGATCCTGTATACTCGGCCTATAATTCTAGTCCGCACTTACCCTCCCACCCCATCTCCCCACTGGTGCTGGGAATTGAACCCAAGATCTGGTACATACACTAGGCAAGTGCTCTACCACTGGACTACATCTCCAGCCCAATAATCTATTACTATTTTATTTAGATGAGCCCTAGAAAGACCACAATAGTGGTATCTGTATTTACAGAAGGCACTTTCTTTGGAACAATCCTGGAAGCAGAGAAGCTTAGGGAGAGGGTGGCTTTGGTCTATGTCATCAAAGGCTGCAGGAAGGAGGTAGTATCTGCACCTCAGTTTGACCTAGAAGCATCAGCATTACCTTTTATGGTAGCGCAGAAATGCAACTTAGAGTCAACTAGCTCAGAAATGCAACTTAGATTCAGTAATTTGCTTCTCACCAATAGTGCAACATAAAAGCTATTTTCATAAGTAAGTCCACCCCATTTTAAATGAAAGACCAATTTTTTTTTTTTCGGGCGAGGGGTGAGGGGTGTGTGCTGGGGATTTTCCATGCTATGCACATCCTGTACCACTCTGCTACACCCAGACTATTCTATATTCTTATGCTCTTCTCTACCTATTATCATACTTTCCACAGAAACTTATTGCATAAAACTAATGCTTTATGTAACATGCTCATTTATATTTCACTATAATCTGACTTCTGGCCCCACTCCCTATTGGTAGACTTCTTACTCAACAATCACCTTCTAACCAAACTTAATGTTCAGCCCTGTTTGCACTACCCCATTGCTACCATTGTACTTGGTCCTTGTCTCTATTGTGGTATATTACATATCTAAATTTCATTTATTCATTTTGTATCCCAGAACTGATCACCTTTATAAGTGCAAGGTAGATGTTAACAATTAATCATGGAGCTGGGGAACCAAATCAGGTTGTCAGTGTTCTTTCCACTTTAGAATAAGTTCTTAGATAATAGCACTTATTATTCTCCCATCAACCTTGTAGGCACTTTACAGATGTTAACTCACTTAATGCTGTCAGTGGTCTGAGGCAGACATTCATCCTATCAGTTGACTGATTCTAGGACCCCTGAAAGTCCCTTATACAAAAAGGCCCCTGCTCAAATCCCTTACATAAAATGTCAAAGTATTTGCATATAATCTACATATACCCTCCTGTATAGTTTAAATCAATCTCTAGATCATTGATACCTATACAATGTAAATGCTATATATAGATAACTGTTATGCTGTATTACTTAGGGAATAACAAGGGGGAAAGTCTGCACATATTCAGTAATTTTTTCAGTCTGAGTGTGGTTGAATTCAAGTATACAGAACCCATGGAGAGCTATTTATTATGTATTACAATAGTAGAGCCATCTACTATTATCCTTATTTGACAAGAGGAAGCAGGCACTGATGGATTAAATAATTTGTCTCAAGCCACACAGCTACTTAAAGCAGAAGTGATATTTCAACCCCAAGCAATCTGGTTATACACTATACTGCTTCCAGGTGGTTTTCTTTTTTAAATGGGGTGGAGAGTGGGGAGACACTTTTTTAGACAGGGAAAAGATATGGTAACACTGAAGGAGTCTTATGTGAAATGCATATGACAAAGTATATAGAAGCCAATATCTTAAATCTTTGATTGCCTAGCTGAGCATTCTGAAGTTCTTCTCTAGGACAGGGGCTTCCAGTTTTTTTTCCCCTACAACCACAGTAAGAAATCATCCACACTGCACCCAAGCTGGCATGGTGGCACATGCCTGTACTCCCAGCAAGTCAGGAGGCTGAGGCATGAGGATCAGAAGTTCCAGGCAAGCCTCAGCAATTTAGCAAGGCCCTAAATAACTTAGCAAGAGTCTGTTTCCAGGAAAAAAAAGGCGGGGGGGTACTGAGGAAAAAAGTGTGGGCAGGGAGCTGAGGCTGTGGCTCAGTGGTTAAGAGCCCCTGGGTTCATTCCCTGGTACCAAAAAATAAACAAAAAGAGACCCCCCTCACCAAATCATCTATATTGCAACCTAGTACATGCAAACACACACATATACACAGACACACATCATATATGATTATATGCTTAAAACTAGTTTCCTAAAATAAAACTTCTCAATCTATGTGACATTGAAAAATTTTATTCCACTTTTTAAAAAAAAGACTGATGTAATTCCCTAAATTGATTTCATTATGCACACTAATGGGGGTTAATCCAGTATGAAAAACTACCTCAGGTACTCTTTACTGAAGGTAGTGGTGAGCACTAAGCAGTCATGTGCTTTGGGAAAATCAAATTAGCCACAAAAGTGATTAATATAGACCAGGCAGGAGAATGCAATAGTGATACAAGACCTTATTTCTTTAATATTTTTTAGTTGTAGCTGGACACAATACCTTTGTTTTATTTCACATATGCTAGGCGAGTGTTCTACCACTGAGCCACAACCCCAGCCCATCAAGAGCTTTTTTAAAAAATATTTTTTAGTTGTATATGGACATAATGACTTTTATTTTTATGTGGTGCTGAGGATTGAACCCAGTGCCTCACACATGCTAGGCTAGCCCTCTACCACTGAGCCACAACCCCAACCATCAAGAGCTTTTTAATTGTTTATTTCTGGTACTAGCAATTGAACCCAGGGGCACTCTACCACTAAGCTGCATCCTAGTCCTTCGTTTTGTTTTTTTTTTGTTTTTGAGAAGGGTCTCACTAAATTGCTGAGGCTGGCCTGGAACTTGTGGTCCTCCTGCCTCAGCCTCCAGAATCACTGGGGTTACAGGTCTGTACCACCTCCTGGAATTAATACTATTTTAGACAAAGAATGTTGATGGCAATTGGAAGAAGCTGGTAGTAAATAACCTGAATAAAGTGCAGTAATTGGGATTTGAACGAAACAGAAATGTAGGGTTTTACTCCAGAGAGGATAGTTCAAGTTATGACAGGGGATGGGTTGCCCTAGGAAGAACACAAAGAAGAAAAAAAAGATGAGAGCAGTATGCCTTTATGTTTAAGAAGAAAGAAAAATCCAAGAGGGGCAGAGGTACCATGAGAAGGTGAATTAAGAGTGAAAAAAAGCTAATGAGATAGAGAGCTGAGGATTGAGGAAATAGCACGTTTGGTAAACAAGAACAAACAGTATTTTGAGTGATGTAAGAAGCCATATTAAAAAGGGTTAAGCTGTGAGTGAGGGTAAAAAAGAAAAAAATTCAAGTTCATTTAAACCTCTTCTCACCCGTATCTTCTCTTGCCCCCCAACCATTGTAGTGGCAAAGCTCTCCCATCCCACCCTGCTCCGTGGCCCTCCAGACAGTGACTTGAATGATGAAGTCGCGCTTAAATGTCCTTGTCCCAAGTCAAAATCTGCTTGTTGGTTTCTTTCGCGATGTCACCGTTCAGTACCAGCGCCAGGTTTGTCCCGGCTCCCCGCTGGGTTCCTGGCCCGAACGTGGGAAGCGAAAGCGATGAACATTTCCTGAGCAGTGAGGTGAGCGCCACGCATTATCAGGCGATGCCCGTCTCCTGGGGAGGATTCAAACAAACGAGTCAGGCACTGGGCATCGCAGTGTGGGGCTGAGGATTTCCTGCCTCCCCCTCTAGCCTGTCTCCCTCACGAAGCCCACCGAATAGCACGTCCACGCAGGGCTCGGAGCCGTCATGCCTCACGTCTGCAATAACCGTGCAGTTCAGATTGGTGGCGCGGACCTTCTCGCTGCTCACGGCTTGGAGAAAGGTCCTACGGTGGGAAAAACGGCATGAGTGCCGGGCGGAGAGGGCTAGTGGCGGGAAGAAGCAGCATCCCCTCCCCACCAACATTCTTCTCACCTCGTCGACTCCACGTTTTTCTCGAAGGGGCAAAATTGAACCCGAACCTGCTTGACGGATCGCAGCCCAAGCCGAGCCAAGGGCGCCGCCATGGTGACCTTCTCCCCGGAAGGACTCGCGCTGGCGGAAGTGATGACGCTGAAAGGTTGCGCCACCAGCAGTCTCGGCAAAGTTGATTTCCAATCGCTGGCAGCCTATTCAGGCTCCAAACAGCTGCCCCAGCTCCGCGGCCAGAGAGTAAGGCAGGGAGGTGGTGGGGATGGCTTCAGCACCGAGTACCAAGGGACCCAAAGCAAGCGGTCACTAAATACTACCTATCGTTAATAGTCCTTTTGTACCACAGTGAAGACAATAAATAGTGCAAAACCCCTTTGTACGAAAATACATCTGTCTTTTGCAGCATTTTCCCTGCCGTATCCTTATGTACAAGATCTAGATTAACACCATCTTAAATTCTGTCTCCTTCCAAGGAGAGGACTCTACCACTGCAGGGATTATCTACTTACCCGAGGTGACCCCCTTCAGGTAACTGAATAACCAAAGCTTTAAATAGGAAGGCCCTACAACCCAGTATTCTTAAATGACTAAAAATAGTAATAGAGTACAGGATAAAAACCATCCTTGGGATTGATCCATAGGTAGAAATATGTATTCCACCTTTGAGATTCCCCATGAATGAACTGTTTTATTCGTGTTTCTGGGATTTAAGAGGGCACAGCTTCTAGCATGTTTTCTATTATTTTCTCTTTCCTTGTACCCTGAGATTCAACCCCTAATCCTCCTCCCACTTCCAGCCCTACAATGTCTTCACTGAGGGGGAACTAGACCTGACCCTTCCAAGGGTGCTGACCTTCAGGTTTCAGCTTCTGGTTTTGCCCTTCACTCTTGATTGCGGACACTGGAGTGATCTTGGATTCATAGCTTCTGATTCCAAGCTCTATGTAGCTTAATGTATGCTCTCTCCCAAGTTCCCAATTCTAGGCTTCTTTAATATGCAGTTCCAAATATCTGGGCTTTTCTAATCAGAGACGGGGAGCTCCTGGTCCTTAGATTTCGGGACTGGTCCCCAGGCACGAAAGAAAGGGCAGTTGCCAACGGGGGTGCTGGTTCAGCCTTAGGGCAAGCCAGGCCTGCTGATTTCCCACCAGGTAAGCCTCAGGGCTAGGTCCTCCTCCCCTTAGGGTGCTTAGCAGCTGATTGGTCTGGGCTGGGGGTGCTCCAGACCGAAGAGGAGGCTCCAAGCTCTCCAGGTTGTTGAGGGTGCTGCTGGGCCATTCTGTGGCCTGGACTTCATTACAAACACCTGGCAAGAAAGAAGTGGAAGGCAGGTGGCTTGTAAAAAGATACTAAAGCAGATCAATGGTGAGTCTGGGCTGTGGGTCACTTAAAACAGGGAGGGACTAAGGGGGTGGGGAGTGACTCACAGCAACAGGGAGGCCTCCGGTGGACTCTAGTCTTGGGCAGAGGCTGCTGTAGTAGACACAGCAAGGCTCCATCTAGCTGCTGGAAGATGCTGAGCATGAACAGAGTCTGCCGAAGCTCTAGGGACAGGCCCCACTGCTCTTCTTCAAGCAACTCCCTGACCACTCCAAAGTCTTGTCTGAGCTGCAGTGCTCCCTGCAGGCTAAATGTCCAGGTACAATGTGACCACCTGACCTTTGTGCCTCTCCAAACTGCTCTATCCCTCCTAAGCCCTCCCTTTTCCCAGTTCCATTCCTCCTACCACGGTTTTTTCTCCCCACCTGAACCGGATGCCATGGGTGAGGATGTGGTCGAGCCAAGCACCTAGGATGGCTGTCAGTGCCTGACCCAAGGCAAGGGCCTGGGCTTGGGGTGATAATCCCTGCAATCCTTGCAATACAGGCTCCAGTACAGTTCGGACTACCAAACCAGCATACTCACTAGGAACATGGGGAAGTTCTGGAGTGAGAGAAGAGAAAGGACAGGATATAAGACTGTGGAATGTTTGTGAAAAAATGTAGGATTTCTGGAAGGAGGGCATAGAAAGTCAAGACAAGGATGGAGATAGTGGTGTGGAAACAGTAGTTGGAGAGGTTGGGATACTGTTACCCCCAGAGACCCTGAAAGTAGAAGCTGGGATAAAAAGTTACCAGGACAGAGACGAAGCCTCCAGTACCGACCACGTGGCATGTAGAGCTTGAAGCCCTGTGTGGCTTGTTTATGACATTCTTGGAAAAAGAGACTTAGTGACTCTTCAGGCAGGAGCTGCACAGATAAGGAGAAAGTAAAAGAGGCTTATCTGTTAGGGACTTCTCAAATTATGATGTTTCTTTAAATCTAAGGTATTAACTGGCTGTGGTGTTGCATGCCTATCATCCGAGCTACTCAGGAAGCTGAGGCAAAAGAATTGCTAGTTCAAGACCAGCCTGGGCAATTTACTGAGACCTTGTCTCAAAATTAAAAGGGCTGAGGATACAGCTCAGTGGTAAAGCCCATCTTGGTTCAATCCCAGTACTGCAATTCAGTCAATCAATCTGAGGTATTCAACTTGGTGTCCATAAACTCCTAAGATTGTATGCATGATTGTGGCATTTCCAAGGAAAGATCTATAGCTTTCATTAAGTTTTCCAGGAGTCCATGACACAAATTATGAACAACTTCCCTAGGAATACTCTGCTTTCAGCTTTATTCAGTGAATAGAAAGTCTTTGAAGTTAATTTTATTCTGTAGTAACTCTAGGGGAAAAAAGAGAAGACACCTTATTACCACCAGTGTTTGCAAGCACATGCCAGAGAGAGGGATCTCTTCCTTTCTTTCTTTTTTTTTTTTTTTTTTTTTTTTTGGGTGCTGGGGATTGAACCTGTGGCCTTGTACATGTACATGCAAGGCAGGAACTCTACCAACTAAGCTAACCCTAGCCCATGATCAGTATTTTTGATACCATTCCTCCAGAGTAACATAGTCCACAAAACAAGAAATGACTTATGTGCTGTTTTTTTGTTTTGTTTTTGTGGCTTGTTTGGTAGTTTGTAGTTTTGGAGGAAGAGAAGACAGCAATAAAGAAGGTCTCTGCTTTATAGCCCATTTTGGAAGACAGGTATCCCCAAAAATGCAGTATATGGCAGTTTCTCTGTAAAAATAATGCAGATGCCAGGGAACCTAAAGAGAAGAAAGTAATAGGGGATGGGGAAGGGCCAATGTGACCCTTTCCAGGCACATCTGACAATAATCTGTCCAACTCTAAACTCTTTCTTTCTTCTCCAGCAAACCAGATTTCCCCTTCTCCTGAATATCAAGGTAATTGTCCTGTCATCACTGGACATTTGTTAGAAACCTCCACACTCAAAATTCTGAAGAGATACAAGATACATAGTATGAGATCACCCCTGCCCCCTTTGGGACATTATAGTTCATCTAAGGAGAAAACTCATAACACCTGATTCTCTGTCATCCCAGCGCTGTATATGCTGGGCACCCAGAGGAGATGCCTAGCAGTATAGTCACCAGGCAGAGGAGTGAGGCATACATTGCTCTGCAGTGTTTGGTCCACATGGTGAACACACTGTCTCTTGTTCCTTTTGCTCTGTTCTTAACCTCATCCCAGAGCTGAACCTTTCTCATATCATATCATGTCTCCCCACCTCCCTTCTATGCAGCCACTATGGCTAGAACAAACTTCTTTCATCATTTTCACTGTTCCTCTTCTCCTGTTACAGTGGCTCCCCATCACTCATGAGATAAAGCTTGGATTCATTCAGTGCCCTCCACATAATTTGATGCTAACCTGCTTACTCCTCCAGCCCCACACCCGCTCCCCAACACATAACATGTATATACAGCAGGCTTACACATGTGTGCACGCATGCACACTTGCACACACATAGCACACACAGCCTCTGCTCTGGTCAGACCAACTCTACTACTGCCAAGGATCTATGAACTGTTTCCTCCAGTAACCCCTGCTGCTTTTCTGAGACTGCTCAGCCACCAATTTGTGTCATAGGCCCATGGAACTTTCTATAAAATACATGCCCACCATGGTCTTCCTTCCTCAGGCCTCCCGTGACTATCACTATCTGCCCTACTCATAATGAGCCTGCTCTGTGACATAATGAGTTTAAGGAGACAACGGTATTTTAGATAGAAATGCAAATGCAGATATTGGACTAGAACTCTTTTTTTTTTTTTCTTTTGGTACCAGGTATTGAACCCAAGGGCTCTTAACCACTGAGCCATATCCCCAGTCCTTTTTATTTTTAATTTTGAGACAAGGTCTCACACGGTTGCTTATAGCCTTGCTAAATTGCTAAGCCTGGCTTTGAACCTATAATTCTATTGCATCAGCCTCCTGAGGCCTTTGGGATTACAGGCATTTGCCACCATGCTCAGATGGACTATAACTCTTAAGAGCCAGAAGAACTATGGGAGTTTATAGCACCAAGACACTAGGTAAGCAAAAATGCAGAAGAAAGGAGTAGAGGGTTAACATGAGCTCTGTCTACAGCTATGCCCCTATTCAAGGCAAAGAGGAGAAAATTGAGCAGAAAGAGAAAACAAAAGACAGACATCTTCCATAGTAGTAATAGATAATATATAGAATAGGGAAAAAATAAAATAGAAGAACAATAGTTTTATTGATAAATATAAAAGAAATCCTAGAAGAAACAGTTAAGCATGGACAAAGGTTACCATTCTGAAGTAGGAATCAAAAGTAGGAATCAATGATGAGGACAAATAACGCATTTTTTTTTTTTCATGAGAGGCCTTATACAGTATTCTATGGGCTGGGGTTGTGGCTCCGTGGTAGAGTGCTCACCTAGTATGTGTGAGGCACTGGGTTCCATTCTAAGCACCACATATAAATTAATTAATTAATTAAAGGTCCATCAACAACTAAAAACAATATTTTAAAAAATATTCTATTTCATTTTTCACTTTTTTTTCTTTTTGGTGCTGGGGATTAAACTCAGGACCTCACACATGCTAGGCCCTATTTCACTTTTTTAATACTATGGATGTGCATTACTTTAATAAAAATACAAATTAAGCTTTTAAAGAAAGAAGAAACATTGTATTGAACACTGGTAACAAAGGGGAAAGGTACAATCATTTATCCTGATTTTTCTCTGCAAATTATATCTCAGTGGGTATAGTGGCACATGCCTGTAATCCCAGTGTTTGGAGAGGCTCAGGCAGGATTCCAAGTTTGAGGCCAGCCTCATCAACTTAATAAGAATCTAAGCAACTTAGTGAAACCCTGTCTCAAAAATAAAAAGAGCGGGCTGGGCATGGTGGCCTATACTCCCAGTAGCTCAGAAGGCTGAGGCAGGAAGATTGTGAATTCAAATCCAGCTTCAGCAACTTAGTGAGGCCCTGTCTCTAAAATATTAAAAGGAGGACTGGAGTGCTGGCTTAATGGTAGAGCACTTGCCTGCACATGTGAGGCACTGAGTTCGATCCTTAGCATCACATAAAAATAAATAAATAAAATAATAGCATATGTCTGTCTACAATTAAAAAAAAATATTTTAAAAAAATATTAAAAAGGATTAGGATGGGCTCAGTGATTAAGTGCCCCAAGGTTTAATCCCTGATACCAAAAATAAATAAATAAATGAAAAATGTAAAAAGCAGGGGATAGGGGCTGGGGATGTGGCTCAAGTGGTAGCGTGCTCGCCTAGCATGTGTGAGGCACTGGGTTCGATTCTCAATACCACAAAAAAATAAAATAAAGATATTGTGTTCACCTAAAACTAAAAAATATTTTTTTAAAAAAGCAGGGGATATAGCTCAGTGGTAAAGTACCCCTGGATTCAACCCCCCAATACTAAAACAAACAAACAGAAACACACACACACACACACACACACATCCTTCAGGGTAACCAAATCCTTAATGAGGACACGTTTGTCTTTATAAAAGTGATCTAATAAATGAGGAAGAAATGAATGAATAAATAAATAAAATTGGAATAGCACCCCTTTGCAACCTCTAATGAAATAATGAGTTTAGGCAATGATGGTCAGTGGCTGTTAACATCAAAAAATGAGAGTCTGACATAATTAGAGAGGGTGGGAGGTATATAAATGAAATAAAATTGACCATGAGTTGATCATTGTTAAAGCCCTTCTTGGTGGTAGAAACATGGGAGATCCATTATACTCTTCTCTCTATATTTGTATATGTTTAAATTTTCCATAGTAAGAGAGAAAACTAAAATAATCAATAAATCAATAGTTTTATTGATTTATTTAGTTTAGTAGAGATTAGTTTAGTAGAGATTCCAAGTTACTGAAATGATCCACTCTGCCCATCCTGTCCACTGTACCCCCCAAGATGTTACAGAATAGGCTCTTAAACTTCTACTGTCAGGGACCCTGTTCTCCTCACCTGCATCTGTGTAGTGAGCTTCTGTATCTCCAAGCCCAACTGCTGCTCTACCTCCAGGGCTAAGCTTTCCTCTAAGGCCAGGCTGGACAGAGCTTCTGCCTCATGCAAAAGAGGCTTTGGATAGAAAACAGGGAGTGAGAGCACAGCCCAGCCCAGCCCAGGCTGCTCCCCTCCCCACTCCCTAAACACTCACAGGTAGGTCCTTTTGGATCAGGAACAGAAAGGAACCTGGGATCCAAGCTGCCAGGTTCTGCTGAGCTCTGTTCAAGAACCAGAGCAAGGTAGTCTGTAAGGTACAGAGTCCCAGGGCGGCAGGTGCAGGACCTAGAAAGGGAGCAGCAGAGTATCTTAGGGGACATGGAGCAGATAAGACAGACTTCAGAACAGACTGAAGGAAAAAGGATATCCTCAACTGTTCTGTTTCCCTGTCTCCAGGCCTTCCTCTCACCTGGAAGGCGGCAATGGATCAATCCTGACCTCAGTTCTTGGAGAGCATCCAAGAGAGGTGGAAAGAGCTGCTGCAACAGTTGAGTAGTATGAGAGAGTGAGGCAGGGCTGTTCTGATCCCTAAGGGTTGATCCCAAGGCCTGGCAAAAACCTGAGGAAAAGAAGATATAGTCTGATGGGGGAGTGGCAACCTGGGACTTGAGTTGCCCCAGTATCCCTCTTTTCTCACCTTGGTCCCAGCTCCAGATAAGAGACTGATGAAGTAGGCTGTGACACAAAGAAGCCAGTTCCTTCTCACACTCCTGAGGCAGGGATGCTAGTGGGAGAAATTACTCTAGAGCCTGAAAACAAGGCCACCCATCCCACAACCCTGCCCACTCAATGATGGATTCTCCAAGACTCAAGAGGAGTGAAAAGCAAGACTTTGCCTTGAAAGCCCTGAAGCTATAGTTAGAACCCTGGGGGTTTCATTCTAAACTGCCTGCTTCTGTTGTCAGACCAGGAGATGAATGAGCAGAGTAGGGAGAAGATACCCCAGGTCTCCCAAAACATGGTCCAGGCCCATCACTCACCCTGACCCAGTGCCTGACTCAGCTGTTGTGCTGCTACCCTGGGGTCCCTCCAGGGTCCCAAATTTAGGTCCAAATTCTGAGCACAGGCTGCCCACAGCAGGGTCCAATATTGGCTCCACAGGGCTCCAGCTCCTCCAAGCCCCAGTTCACTGTTGGCTGAACTCGCCACACTCCCTATGAGGCTCAGCAGCCCTGGCAACAGCTCACGCTCCTCATGGCATCGCTCTCGGAGCTGGTCCCGGAAGTCCGATCCCCAGAATGCCTCATCCAGCCGACCTGCCACCTGGCAACCCCGCTCCCAGGTCAGGAGATGGAGCACACGGGTAGGGGAGAAAGGGCACGCTGCCCTTGGGAGGTGGCCCATGGATTTTCTCTGCAGTTTGTGATAGACAGGAAGCTCCAACAACAGTTCAGTGAGTTGGGACGTCAGGCTTAGGCTGGCAGGCGCCCGACCCAGGGAACGAAGCTGCATCTCAATGGCAGCATCCAGGCAGCGGGCCGCTAGTCCGATGGGGCGTGCTAGGAGTAGCGGCTCAGGAACGTCCCGTAGGCCGATTCTCTGAACCGTCTCTCGAGGTGGGTGTAGATGCAAGTTGCGACACAGCTCTGGGAAGGGGCGGATTCCGCTGGCATGCGTGCAGGGACTCAGGGTCTTTAAGAGGTGCACGGCCGCCTGTAGGTGGCGGGCGCAATCCCGGGCCTGGAGGAGTTGCTCTCGCTCGCGGTGCAACCGCAATAACACAGCCCGGAGACGCTGCAGCGCCAGCGGTATCGGGCTGCCAGATGTAGGCTCCCGCCTCCAGTCCGCAGCGCCAGCCTCGTGCTCCTCACCCGAGTCGGCCGAGGCCAGCCAGGACTGCTGCCCTCCCGGAGTTCCGCCGGGCCGTGCATCCAGACAGGGAATGCTCCCGGAAACGGGTAGCCCCTGCCTGCCACAACCCTCCCCGCGGCTGGCGCCCGCCCGATTCCCCTCCCATAGCTTCTCCCCAGAGTCCGCGGGTTGCGCCCACAGCTGGGGCACAGTAGCTAGCGGAGGCAGAAGGCCATCCGAGCGAGAAGCCTGAGCCATGGGCTGCGAGTCAGAAACGAACCTAACGTTTCTCACTTCCCAGCTCCGCCCAACGTCCGCCGTGTTCGGACTCCGCCTCCTACCAAGAACCAACTCTCTCATCCTGGACCGCGGAGACTGTACTCTCTCGCCCTCCGTAATCAACGGCCTCTGCCCCTAATAAAGATGGCGCCTATTCTATCTTACCCCGCCCTTTGCTCAGTGTCAAATTCTAGACTATGTTTCACTTTCGTGTCACTGTTGACGGGAGATGGCGCCGATTCCAAAGACTGTGGAGCGGATCAAGCTAGGTGAGCGGGGTGTGACACGACCACAGGGGACCCAGGAGCGTAGAGGCAGCCCCACTTGAATCTATTGTGGTCTGGACGGTTTGGTAGGATTTTATGCTTCAGGAGGAGGGTGAAGGACGCTGGTCCAACAATCCCGAGCTCCCTTGAATTCGGCACTGCCTTCCTTTCCTATAGACTGCCCTGTGCGTCCTGGATGCCCGCTGGGGGTCGCTGCTGTCCCCAAACTCTACAGGGAATTCGTACCAGAGGACAGCGGAAAAGAGGTAAAAAATACTGCCACCTGCCCCTATGCCTGAGCGCGCGCGCGCACGCGAACGCGCGTAGGTCCTCTAGTTTACGCCTACTTTCAATCAGCTGTGCTTACACCCACTCTGTGCTAGCCCTGCACCCGGCTCTGGGAGCTTTGGGGAGGAGTAGCTTCCGACGCTGCTCTTGAGGATCTTGGGCAGGAATGGGGCGTATAATCCTACTGTAATGAATGCTCGAAGTTGGCAGAACTGAGAAGACCAGTGTTCTTGAGTTGAGGCTTGGATATGAGTGCCTGAGAAAGATACTGTAAACAGGACAGTGCGAGCAAAGACACTAAAGCAAGGAAAAGCTGAGAGAACGTCACTAAGGTCAGATCATAGTGGACGGTTGGAGATACAGCAAAGAGTGAGTGGAAAGGCCGAAGGTTTGGATGGCCTTAAGTAGGCCATAGGTTACTAAGGGAAGGATAGGATCAGTTTTTTTCTTTTCTTTCTTTTTTTTTTTTTTTTTTTTGCGGGCGGGGGTAGCTGCTGGGAATTGAACTCAACGGTGGTTGGAACTACATCCCCAGACCTTTTTATTTATTTATTTTATTTTCAGACAGGGTCTTGCTAAGTTGTTGAGGGTCTCTGTAAATTGCTGAGGCTGACCTTGAACTGGCAATCCTCCTGCCTCAGCCTCTGCAGTCACTGGGATTACTATGCCACCTTGCCCCTGCTGTTTGTTTTTCTCTAACCCCATTTTTGGTTCATAACAGGAGCTTCTGACTCCGTTGCTTAATCCAGAAATCTGAAAATAGTTTTGTACTCCCACTTTCCTTTACCTCACATTTAGGCAATCACTGAAATCTACTTCTGAAAAGTCTTTTGAAACAAACCCTCGCCTCATTTACATTCCTGCTCCCACTGCCTCAATTTTTAGTTTCAAGGGCTCATTCTGTCTGGCCTGAGCAGTTGTAATGGCCTGCTAAATAAACATTACACCCTTAGATCCATCTTCTTCTTCAGCTCTATGAACAGTTCACTGCCCAGATCAGGTCCATTCCCATTACTGACAAGATAAAGCCCAGATTCACTGGGTCACACAAGGCTTTTCTGACATAGTCGCTGGATTTTCTCCATTGGAATAGCCTACTCAGTGATCTCTTTGCTTACTCAGCACACACTCACTGACCACCAGTTATGTACCAAACAGTGGTAGGAAGACAGCAGTAAACCAAGCAGATAAACAAATTTTCTATTCATTGATTGAGTTAGACGTATCTAGTAGAGCGCTTGCCCAGCATGTGTGAGATACTGGGTTCAGTTCTCAGCACTGCATATAAATAAATAAAGGTCCCTCAACAACTAAAAAAGTTTTTAAAAAGAAGTGTCTAGTAGAGGTAGCCAGTCAATAGATAAATAGCATAGTATGTCATATATAAGAAGTGGGGCAAAACAGCAAGAAGAAGGATGGGGAGCACTGAGTGGAGAAAAGAGATGTCTGTTTTTACAAGGAGCCGTCAGAAGCCTTCCTAAGAAGGTGACATTTAAGCAGAGATGTAAAGGGAACAAAGGAGTGAGCCATTCACTGGGGAAAGACCATTCCAGGCTGAGGAAATAACAAATCCAAAAGCACTGAGATGGGATCTCAGTTGGTGTGTTGTAGGAACTTCAAAGGATATTACTGTGATTGGAGGAGGGTGTCCAAAAAGTAGGAAATTTATAAAGATACTAGGGGGCCAGATCATGTGTGGCCACCCCCTCTGAAGCTTACAATCACTAAGGGAATGACTATTATCAGAATCATAGGGGGTGGGGACTGGGGGTATCAAACTGTTATCATAATCATGGATGGGAGCACTGAACTCAGTGGTAGAACAAGTGAGGCCCTGGGTTTAATCCCCAGCATCAATTAAAAAAAAAAAAAGTGTGTGGGTCAAGCCTCAAAGAGTCTTTCCTCATTCGTCAATGAGGAAAGAGTACAATAAACTGAAATGAATTATACAAAATGAAATATCCAGGCAGTGACAGAATCAATAATGCAATGCAAGTAGCTCCGCTCTAGCATAGCTGTTTTTCCAGTTATGTGCTGCCACACCAACTTGCAATATAAATCAATGAAAAATAAGGTTCTAAATTGTATAAAAGACTATGTGGGTACAATTTGGTTGAGAGAGGGCAGAAAAATTGAAGATGAAAGGATCTGAAAAGGCTTTGAGGGGAGATGGAATTTGCCCCTTCAAGATGAGACAAGATGTGGTAAGAAGATCAGAGCCAGCAAGGACTGGAGGCCCTAAGGATAGAGGGAGCCTGGTGGCCAAGGGAGGATGGCAGCTAAGCAGGGAAAGTTGCAAGGGAAGGTTGGAAAGCTCAGTCAGCAAGCTTTGGAGGGCTCCAAATCCTAGACCACCAAGGCCCTAGATTCAGTCCTTCCTACGACCCTGGCAGTGTGTGATACTGGAAGTTTTGGAGCAGGGGAGTAATGTCTGAGAGCTTTGTTTTGGAGAGAAGCAGATGAGAAGCAGGAGAGGCCAGCTGGGAGCTGCCATGCATATATGCTTTGGGTTGGGTTTTCTGATAGCTATTCACATTCAAGGGTATGATGGGACACAGAGGGAAGACAGGTAAACAGGCTCAATTCCAGGGACATTAGTGTAGCTGGCATAGTGGCAAGTCAGAGGAAGAAGACACTGGATGGTGAAGAAGGTTGGGCTGAAGGCCATGCTCAGTCCCAGGGAATGCAGGAGAATAGCAAAGGGAGGTGATGCATCATGAGAGCCAGGAGCAGCACATTTTCTAGGAGTGAATGAGAGAAAGGTCAGAGCCAAAAGGATTCTTTATGTTGGGTGGTTGGTTTGTGGCTGCCACAGTAGAGTTCAAGCCAGCCAACCCTTTGCTCTCTCCCAGAACTTCCCCCAACACCAGCCTCCCCTCCCCTCCCCCTCCCAGGACGTAGTGGATTTTCTTCGCCAGCTTGTGGAGAGTGATCCCCAGGGCCTGCACCGGATCCATGTGGATGGGAGCAGCAGGCAGTTGCAGCAATGGCATCATGGTGGGGAGTGCAGGCCCGGACCTGGGATCAAGGCTGGAACCCTGGGGTGGGCTGGCCCTCGGGTGTGCCCCTCTCTCATGTTCCTCTTTCTTTCCTGTCTCTTTTTCCCTGCTAACAGATTACCCCCTGGACCATTTCTGTGATGAAGGAAACACAACTGGACAGAGTGTCAGGGGCAAGGGGGCTGAGGGACTGGGCACCTACTGTGGTTTCCAAAAGTCCTTCCTATACCCTCCGCAAGGGGCTGAGCCCTGTTCTCAAAGTTCCTCTGCCTCTGCATCCTTCCCCAGTGACTCAGATAGCCTGCTTCAGGTGGCCCTGCCCCAGAAACTCCAGGTGACGGAAGAGGTGAGATTGTCAAGAAGGGGCTTTATGGTCCTTTCAATCCATGTATTTCCACCCCTGGATGCTCCCCTAATTTGTACCTTCTAAGGCCCTTCCACACAGCTTGCCTCCCTTTCGCATTCTCTCTCATTCTCCCTGTTCTTTCTCTTTTTTTGTCACTTGCCCTTCCTCCTTCAGGAAGCCAACCGCCTGGCCGAGGAGCTGGTGGCCGAGGAGGAGCGCATGAAACAAAAAGCAGAGAAGAAACGACGCAAGAAGAAGGTGTCTGCAGGGTGGAAAAAGGGAACCCGGAGGGAATTAGGGAAGGGAAAGAAGCAAACTTTGTGAGAATAGGAAGGAGCTTAAGGTGTCCTGCAGTGGATTCCTTCACCAGGTGGACCCAAGGAGACCGGGGACTGAAAGGTCACCTGGAGGCCATCCGGTATAGCAATTCGAATGTCACAGTACTGCCCTAGTGGAATCTCCTTACAGTGACATCTCTGGCTAGTGACTCTTTTGTCTTCTTTTAACCTATAAAATGAGGATAATAATAATACCTCATAGAGTTGCAAGGATTAAATGAGATAGTCTATGCAAAGCTTAGTCTACTATGTGACTTACAGTAAAGGTACATCATCATCATCATCATTACAGCGTCAAAAGGAACGGAAACGACAGGAGCGGTTGGAGCAGGATGGTGGGGAGTCCAAGGTGAGTTCTGCAGGCAGGTGTACAGAGCAGCAAGGGCCAGGAAGCTGGGGGCTGAGAAGGCAGGAGACGCAAGATGATCCCAACCCTGAACTTGCACACCTTTCATCCAGGTGAAGGCTACCTCAGACGGGGATGAGAGCCCCTCAGCTAGCCCCGGGAAACCGGCTCAGGGACAGTGTGGTGAGGAAGAGGTGAGGGCCCCTTTCTATCCTCTTAAACTCTTCTCACCCTCTTCTCCTCTATTCCAGGATTTACTTCATCCTCACCCTGTACTTAACTTTCCTTTTAAAAATTTAAAAAATTATTTTTAAGAATATTTTTATTTTTAATTGACACATACTAATTGTATATATTTTTGGGGTACAGTGACATTTCAGTACAGGTATGTGATATGCCAATCATGCTGATCTGATCATTACATATCTATTGCCTTGGACATTTATCATTTCTTTGTGTTGGGGACATTCAAAATCCTCTCTATTAGCTGTTT